ATATATATATATATACATCTATCTACACATACATATTCTCAAAACCCTCATCTCCATTCGCTTGCAACGTCGAGGCTATGCTTTGCAGACCGGGTTCTGGCCGCCTGAAGAGATGGAGCTGTTGGTTGCTTTGAAGGGTTTGGAGTTTAGGGCTTAGGGCCTTCTTCTCCGAGTATCAGCAGGGGTACACTCTAAGCGCTCAGCCCCAAACCCGTAGCCGAGCCGTCGCCAGCCCAAAGCCCTTAGCTCACTAACCTTCCAGCCCAACACCCTGGACCCTCAACCGTAAAAGCCCCAAATCCACAAAACCCGAAACCCTAAGCTCCAGATGCTAAACTCCAGACCCTAAACCCGAAACCACAAACCCTAAAACTTGAACTCTAGTTGGGACCAGCTCTGACCGGGCTTGGTCGAAGCCTTGGATTGTCGGCAGACACGATGCTTAGCGAGCCTAGGGCCTAGAGCCTCATGGGCTTTCAGGACAACTTTTAGATTCGTTATCGTTATCCAGCATAAGACGCGATAATATAATGCAATATCGTATAATGTACGTGTCTATGATATGGTCTTATGGGGCTTATGTTGGTGTAGGGGGTTAACGGTCTGGGATTGTAGGCTTCAAGTTCAGGGCTTGGCTTCAGATATAGGGTTCGGGGCTAATGCCTAGCCGAATGAAAACGGAATGCTTTTAATGCAAGTACCCGGTAGGTCGGGCCTCGCACTTCAAGAACGTCACAAGACCGGGTTGCACGACCCAGGCCTAAGAGAGATATCGGGACTCCTTTAGTAAGGGTTGAGTGTTCAAGAGTTTTTGCTGTTGCCCTTCTTCATGTACGGCTGCTGCTAGTTCGCCTATGAGCTTGGTTCCGGTGGAGGGTTTTGGATCTTCGCGTCTGCGTGTTCTGATTGCTGCAACCCCCCAGTGGCGTGACCATTACCTCTGCCTTCCCTGAAGCCCTCAGCCTCACAGCCTCACACCGTAGGCGCCTGTGTGCATTCTGAGCAAAAAGCTGCTTCAATTTTCCTAATAACTATAATAACCGAGTCTGTGCCAAAAGGCTTGTTAGTGGCAGGTTGAGCCTCCCGCACAGCCCATTCTACCATGATCCATGAACTTGAGGTCCAAGACCTTTCCTTCTGCGCGCCCGCAGAGGGTGCTCTGCCTCGACCTGGGTGAGGGGTGAAAGGGTTTAGGGTTTGGGGTTTACGTTGCAAGCCAGTGGCGAAAGGGTTGCGTCGCCCGAAACCCTGAACCTCATGCCGCCAGTATGAGCCGTTGTTACCTCTTGCGGCCTCTTGCGTGGGCATAAACCACATGTCACGCACTTACACAAATCCTTCATCCACCCTGAGCCCTCTACATGTGGATGTTGGCATTTGGTACTTTGCTCATCGTTTTTTGGCATGGTTTTGTTGCGTGCAACCGCTTGCACAGGTGTGCTTGTGATATTGCGTGTTTCATGCGTGCACCTCTCTGCGTGTACATACGTTTCTTAATCATGCAAACTTCGTGCAAATACGTGAGGCCGACATGCATATAGGCACACATGCGTCCTCACATACGTGACAAGAACAAGCCGCACTGTCGTAATTTCTTACAGTGCAACGCGCGTGTTACTGCGCGTTTTTTTTGGCACTCAGGTGGGCTCCTGATCTCCGGTCCCAGCGGCAGCGGGAAGACTACCTTGCGACCCGGTTTGGGGATGCCCTTTTGGGGTTTCGGATTTAGAGTTCAGGATGGGGGGGGATCTTTTATTGGAGGCTCTTGACCTCAAAAAATGGGGTTAGAGCGCTGTTTATTTGAAGTCGTCGCGTCTGAACTCCCGGGGTGTGGCATTCAGGGCTCGGGGATTTAGGGTATGTTTTTTTATGAGAGTGTTTCGTTTGAGGAAACCCTAAGCCCAAACCCCTAAACAAGCCCTGACACTTTAAACGACCTTCCGTAAAACAAGCGCCCTAAACCCGGTACCCTACGCCGTCTTCGGGAGACGCTCGATCAGTTCCCAGGCTCCGTGCTCTGGCCGGGCTTTGGCACTGGGGACGCGGCAGCATCCGATTGGCAGAGCACCGGGCTCCCGGGGCCGCATGGGGCAAGGTCCCAACGGAGAGGTGGGAGTTCAATAGGGTATTGTAGGTGGGAGGCCGTACCGGCCGTATCGTACCTCTTTTTGCCTTGTTTCGGTTTCGAGTTTCGACATCACAGCATATCTATCCTAACAAGGACATGAGAGACTCTGGGGTGTCACTCAGGACTGCCTCTTCCTGCCCCAGCGGCCCTACATGAGCCTGGGCACTCTGCGGGACCAGTTGCTTTACCCCAACAGCCAGGCCTCCTGCAGCACTCGCTTAGACCCCATTGAACCCCCGCCAAACCCGATTAATGTCATGAATAAAATATATCTTGTTGACGTTGATGACCATCGCCCCTGTTTTTGCGACGCCACCAGTGAAGACGTAATCGTAGCAGGTTCAGAGCAGGCGCCAAGCGCAGTCTAAACCTCGGTTTTGCGGGCGCGTACAATACACGATAATGTAATGGAATATTAAACCCGAAAAACTGGAGCGCCGAAACCCCAAACGAGGCCGGCGAGGGCCAAACCGGCTAAACCGTACCCAGACCCTATGCAACCTACCTTGTTGGCGTCATTGCCTTTGCTGCTAGGGCATAAATCCGAAAGTTATTGTAGGGCCGAGGTAGGCTGAATACTTCCCTCAACCTGTGCGAGGTGAGCATCCACGATGACGCCCTGCGTGAGTTGCTCGGTTTTGGTTGTATGTATGTGTGCATGTTGTTTGTTTATCTGCCTGTCTGTCTGTCTGTCTGTCTGTCTGTCTGTCTGTCTGTCTGTCTGTCTGTCTGTTTCTGGTATTCACGCATGAATGCACAAATGCATATCATATCCATCATGCCTACGCACGTACATGCAGAGAGAGATCGGTAGATAGATAGATCGCTCGACCTGATAGATGGGTAGTTTGGTAGATGGGCAGGTAGATAAATAGAAAAACAGATAGATAGATAGATAGATAGATAGAAGGATAGGTAGCTAGAGGCAGACAGATAGGTAGATAGATAGACGTGTTTGTAGATAAATTCATGCACAGACCAAGAAATACATAAAGGTAGATGGATAGATAGGTAAGTAGATAGACAGGTAGGTAAATAGATAGTTAGACAGATAGATACAGATAGATAGAGACAGATGGATAGATAGATGGATCGACAGGTAGTTATCTGTGCTGACGCACCACAGCGTGCAATGGGTGTTATTTATCGAGGATAAGTTCACCACTGCATCGCAGCCGCTGTCTTCGGAACGGTTCGTAACGCGGCTCCAGCTCCGAACCGCTCGGAACGGCCCCCGGGCTCCGGAACGGTACGGCGTAGAGGGCTAAGTTCGGAAAGGTTTGCGATTTTCGGAACGAGGCCACTTGTTCGGATTCAGAACGGTTCGTAAGGGTTCGGAAGATGTCAGCTGCTGTACTATACTATACTATACCATGCTATGCTATACTTACAACACGATGTTAGGTTGTTGGCTTTATACTCTGCTCTACTCTACTCGTCCTTTAGTGTATCATGCCATACTATCCCGTGCTATGCCATTCTCTACTAGGCTACACTGTACGATACGAGACTATACTACACTACACTATCATTTGATTATACGACACTAGAGTTTACTAGTACTATGATCATACTAATACTAAATATTAGGCACTAGTTATTAATTGCTAGTACGAATATTCATACCAATACGAAGCGAGAAGCAACATTATTATCAATGCTAATGCCGCTACCAATACACCCTACAGCTTCCACTCTGCACCCTCCAACACTCCAATCTGCACTAGGTATGTACCATATACCACATACTATATACATAAACACATATATATACACTATACCCAATACTCTCTACTCTCTATTCCCTACTGTACAGTCCGTACTCTGTACTCCAAACTCTGTACTCTCTACTGTAGACTCTACACTAGCTACTCTACTATAGTATATAGTATATACTATATACTTTTTAATATATATATATATGTATGTTCTTATTTCTTGTTTATTAAGTACTATATACTATACAATAAAAACCAAAGTTTACGTAGTATATACTGTATACTGTTACCGTATTCTAAATGCCATATCCTAAGCACGACATACTTTATACTCTTTACCATCTACTACACTAAACTACACTACAGTAGTTTTGTCCACCCATCCCGACCATGCCCAGCCCAGCAGCCCCGTCACCGGGGCTGCATTCGTGGTCTGAGGCGCATATTCGTCGACCGTTTGGCAACGGGTTGATCGAACCATAAATCCTTGGACACAATGCTTAAGACTGAAAACTCTTCGTAAGCTACGGCATTACGTTGCTTCGCATGACACACTGGTGTTCCTAGCTGTCGGTGCTCGCTCAGAATCCTGGCGCGTGTTGGCCTACACAGCGTTCTGAAGCGCACCGGTGGGAACCTGGATTGGACGGACTTCATGGGACGCGGTTTTCAACCTAAGCCCTACACCCAAGCCGCTACGAATCATCAACCCTTGAACAATGAATCCTAACCCTACGTGAGGTCTCGCATTTCGGGAAGGATTCGGGGCTCTTGGTCGAGGGTGCGCCTTCCTGTTCCAGAAACCCAGCGCCTGAAGACCTTCTGTTGATGTGGGCTCTTTGGACTGTTAGGGTGCTGGTTTAGGATGCCCGCGACGAGTTGTCCTAAACCTAAGCCCCAAACCCCCAAATCCTAAATCGTAAGCCATGCGGAGCGGAGGGCAAATTCGATTGCTTTTTGGGGTTTACCTTCGGCGCAGGTTGTAGATAAGGCGGAAGCATGGCCACCCTGCATGAGCTGAGAAGCTCAAACCCGAAACACTAGACCTGAACCCTAAGCCCTGTGCTTCCGGGGAAGGTGGGGGTCCTACGAGAGATACAATCTTTCGAAGATAAAGAATGGGAGCCTTGTTAGGAACAAAAAACAGCTTCCCCAAACCATAAACTCAAGACTCCAACATGAACGGCAAGCCCAATCTTTGACTCCTTTATCAAAGCCTCTCTCACTCTTTCTCTCTGCGGTCTCTCTCTCTGCGCTCTCTCTCTCTCTCTCTGGCTCTCTTTCTCTCCCTTGCTTCATGGACATAAACTGTACATCGAGAAAGGTGGACAGATAGATAGAGATAGATAGAGATAGCTTCCTGTATGTATCTATATACGTACTCACAATGAAATAGGGTAGGTTAGAAAAGACTCCAGAATAGAATAGAATATCACAAAATGCTATTCAACATGAAGCATGTATGTACATTCACGCTCAAGCCTCAGCAAAGAGCAGCGGCAAGCTCCAAGAGTTCCATGCGGGTGTTACAGATGTTGTAGCGCTTGCATAAACCCGAAACTGTAAACCCCACTCATTAAACCGGCCGGCTCCCAGCCTCACATGCCAAATCTTCAACCCTGAACCCGATGCGCTCAATCCCCGGTCTGCAAACCGGACCCCGGAGCATCCATTTGCCGGTTTAGGGTTACAAGCAGCAGAGTCCCTTGTGAAAAAAGGTTACAAGGGTATGCATTGCAGTCCCTGCTCAACAAAAGGGTTATGCGGGTTCGGGGTTTAGGTTTGCGGCTCCAAGAGCCTCTCGCAGGACAGATGGGATGAGCAGCTCAGCATCGGCGAGCAGCAGCGGCTCAGCGTGGCCCGCGTGTTAGTGCAAAAGCCGCTGTATGTCCTCGCAGATGAGGCCTTTTGAAATCGGCTTTGATTTGCTTGTTTGGAAGGGGGGGCTTGGGGCTCAGGGGCATTCAAGGGTTTAGGGTTCTTGCTTGGGTTTAGGGATTTCTTTGATTCGTTTGAATCAACGAGAGTTGACTGAGGTTGCAGGTTTGGGGTGCTGGTGGGTATGGGGCCTAATTTATCAACCGCTAGACTGGGGATCGGGGGGATGTTATATCGAAGCCAGACAGCGGATATCAAGGAATAATCGCAGAAGTGTACAGGCTCCTGTGGTGGGGGGGTTAGAGGGTAAGGTACCTGAATTTTGGAGCTGTATGCGCTTTCTCTTAGAGCTTTGAAACCATTGTGGGTGATGTAATCCATGTGCGGAAGTCGGAGAGAATCCCCACAAAATGAAAGATGTCAGGGCCCCCAGCCACGCATCCTTCAGGTGACGTCCGCAAACGACCCTGCTCATGCCCCTCTGCCGTCCTTCGTAGGCTTTGGGAGGTTCAGCGGTAGGATCTTCGCGTTAGGGTTAGGGTCGAGGGTTTGGGATTCTGGGATGAGACAAATCGGATAAGAACTCGCTGATTTCCCCCCGCGGCGGCCTAAATGGCGAGATGAGGGTTTAGGGTTTACAAAGATAATGCTGCCCCAGCCTTGGGCATCAAAGCGGCCCTTTCCCCAAGCCGAAAGGTCCTCTGCGGGTGACGTTCCTGGCGAGAGAGCGGAGTCTACTATTGACACTCCTCTCTCTTTCGTAAAAAGAGGATCCTGTAAAGAGAGAGATCCTTCATATGCACACATCCCATCGATGATGAGAAGCCTTGGCCATTCGGCTTCAGCAACACTTGAGACATGCTTTCGCGCACTCAGCCTTTCACTGCTTCAAGTCCTTGAAGACACGAACTTCTTTGCTGCCTTCGTAGTACGGAGCCGGGGGCTTGTAACCAGAAGCCACGAGGTACTTCTGCAAGTCTTTCACCTTAGCGGAGTTGCCGGTGAAGGAGAGGATGAAGACATTGAGGTAGCTGAAGATCTCGCGGTCGGACTTGGAGAGCCCCACGAGCTCTGCGTAGCTGAGCTTAAGACTGACAACCTTCGGCAGCGTGCACAGCGTCTGACCCCACTGAGCCAAGCTAGTCGCTCCGTCTGGGAACTGCGTCGTCTGGTAAGGCGTGGTCGTCAGAGCCACAGGAGCTTGGGAACAGCGG